AGCTTAAGTGCTAGATGTAACGAAAATTTATAAATGACAATGAAAAATCTGATTTGATGTCCATATTAAACAAAATAGTTAAAGAGAATAAAGCATTGAAATGTGTATTTAATCAACAGCAATCATTCAAATACAAATGCTAATATGTACACAGTGTGACCTGTTCTTTGCTTTGACAAAGTGAAATTTGATACAAAATAAAATATACTAAAATGATCGTCAAAACAATTAACATTATAGCAATATTATCTATGAGCTGTGGTTTCCATGAGAACTGTTTTCATGGTCTATTATTGAGTCCCTTTGTTAAAGAGGAGACCATTAGTGAAATATTAAAACATTACCTTTGAGCTAAAGTTAAAAAAAAAAAAAAAATTTTTTTTGCATCAAGTACATATTGATTTTGATGTTGTTCATATGTCATTGAAGAAAGATCTTGTTTAAGATTACTCTACTAATTGAAGTGGAGTAAAGAGGGAGAGAGGAAGAAGCAAAGAAAAACTCAGTGTGTATGGAATTCTATGAGCATTAGATAGCTAAACAAACCCTAAGTCCCTTAGTGTTGCAGTAAGGTCAAAACCTTTCAGCATTGTATCAGTGTGTCAAAATATGTCAACAAACCCTCATACTGCAAGAAGAAGAATGACCTTTCAGTTCTTTACGTTTGAGCTGCCAATGAAGCTTTGGATACTGGGTATGCATGAACAGTTTTCCTAGCCACTTGACAAACGCAACTCCCAAGGTTTCCTCCAAGTCGAGCTGTTAAACTACTAGCTTTCAACTTACCAGTACAACTTTTAAAACCATTTGCCATATGAGAATATTGATGTTGTTACAGAACAGACATCTATAAACTTACAGTATAATTCCCTCTCTTCCCATATCACCTACAATCAGACAATTATTACTTAAACAGTCTTCACAGTAATATATGTTAAACCATTTTAAACAACTGAATAGAAAACAGGCATTTTTTTTGATGTTCTGATTCAGTGTTTGCTCACATATGATTCATCCTTATAGTCCACTACAAATGAACTTGAACAGAACACTTCCCCAAAAAACTTAAAAACACATCAGCCGTGTTTGTGACTGAAATGGAATCCTATACGTTTTTTCCTTTCCCATTTATCCAAAACACCTTTTTTATTCTACAGGATACTGATAATGTTATTATTACAATTGTTAGTTATAAGCAGAAGTCTCAAGATCAGACATAATGTATTAATTAATAAAACTGAATAATGAATTTAGGTTTCTAAAAAGTGTGTCTACCACTTTAAAAATGCTTATGGAAAACTTGCTCTTTTAATTATTCTTTTTAAAAAAGAGAAGCACACAACTAAGGACGTTTAGATCACAAGAAAAGGGGGAAAGGAATTTAGTAGAGGGATGGCTTACTATCCTTATTCAAAAAGAGGAGATGAAATGCTTCTCTCTCATTATGTGCAATTACCATTAGTCTAATATCAGTGTCAAATACGACATTTTCCTATGGTCTTTCTCATATATAGTAAAGTTTTTTTTCCAGCTAATAACAGCATCAAGCTTTCTCCTGGGACTCTCTAGAAATTATATTCCAGAGTGTACATATGTCTCAGCCAGGCTTACAGAGAATAGAAGAAGTAAATTGTTGCATTTAAGTTTACATCTTCTTACAGCAAGTCATTGACAGTACACTCACTAATTAGTATTTACACTGTCTGTTGTTGATCTCTATATACCTCTTAGAAAGCAGCAGCCATGCCTATCAGCTCTGATTAACAGATTTTTACAGCTGGGGCTCCAATTTTTAATTTAAGTCAGAAAAAAATGATGAAATTATACACTAGGGGGAAAAAAAAAGTAGCAGCAGCATTCCTTTAAACCCTGGAATAATTTACAACTTGTTCTCAGATCCTGTTTCAGAGTGCAAATCTGTATCACTTCCTGTTCATGCTCTCCCAAGGTTTGGTCATACAGACTACTCAACAGTTTTTATCCTCATGGTTACATGAAACATATCAACCTATGTAGGTGAACAATGAAAAAGAAGTGTGGATCTACTACACGTGCACAAACCAACTATGCTTTGCATATGCAGTTGTCCGGTTCATATGGTGGCAGAGACGGACACAGCCCTGCTTAGCTGGATACCACTGCTTTGGAGGAACGTGTGGAGGGAAAGGATCCTGCGAGTAAGTGAATCATTTTAAAGTTTGTTCTGTTTACAAAATAGCTTTTTTTCTAAATACTATTCTGCAAAATCAATCTTGGAATATGCAAAACAGAAGTTGCTTTTTCTTGTTTACTATTATGAAAGTTCTTAGTATCTAAACAGTGCCATGAGCTACAACTGTGCAAGCCCACTGACAAGGTAGGGTTTCTACATTTTTAATGGGAAGCTTAATTTGAAGATGAGGTTGCAGTGCAGCACTGCAATTGAAAATTGCTTAACAATACCATTGATGTATGAGCCATAAAAAACCTTGCTAAGCTGTCCCTGCAGAACTCAGAGTAATAAAAAGGTGTTCTTTTCACTGAGGTGAACAGACATGGTTGACTGCACCTAGGGAGCTGTTCTGTTAAGTGAGAAAGTGCCATTTCTTTCCTGTCACTATAGGCCAATTTACGATACTCACAGATTTAGTTAGCACAGAGTATAGGATTTAATGAAACATAAATATTGCCAAAAAAAAAAACAAACCCGACAGCTATGTTCAAAACTTTCAGTCAGATTGTGTGCAGAATTAAACTTACATCTGTGATAGAGCAAGAGAAAAAAAACAGAAACTTTTTCAGTCTCACTCCTACTTTTCTGGAAAACAAACAAACAAAAAAAATCTCAATGAAAAAGGTCTAAAACCTCTCCTGTTCATTCTTTTCAAATTATCTAGACAGGTATTTCTATCTGCATCTAACAGGTAAGGTTAAGGGTTCTCTCTCCAATTTCAATTCAGCTTTAAGTTCAACTAACAGTTCAGGTTTACAGAAACCTAAACAATGTGTTGACTGTCATGATATCTCTGTCACAAACTGATGCACCTTCTCCAGATCACCTATATGCCTTCTTTAAGAGGAAGGGAGATGGCACAGATACAGATGAATTGACTGGGAAACTGGTTCTCACCTCCAAGATCCTTGCATAGGCTGATTCATTAAATAATTCAAAACTGATTCACAATTTGGGCAGCTATCGTGTCTTTTTGTATAAACAGTTTCAGAGAGCGATCAAAGTTGACTATCTAAACTGCACGCAACTTAATCTGTCCACAGTTGTTCATTAACCCAACCACCATTAAACTACAAGAAGCTACAGTGATTAAGAACTCATTTCAGAAGAGGTTATGATACTGTTAGTTTGGCTAACAAACAAGTACCAAGACTAAAACTTGGAGGTTTTGACCTTTATAAAAAACCAATAGAAGTCAGCCTAAAATGAAGTAAAATGAAGTTTGCCTTGGTTTTGGTTGACTGATATAAGCGTAAGAGGACCTTCCTTCAGAAAAGTCAGGTTCAAATCGTACGCATTATTCTGAAGGGTTTTGCACTTCTTAGCTCAAACCAAAAAGTGAATAATCATTTTTTTTCAGTACCAAAAAGTCAGGAACAACAACTCAGATTTTACACTGGCAATTTTCCTGCAACTGTGAAACCGATCAGTGCCCCAATCTCATTTGTCTACTTAGCTTTCATTCTGACTCATCCCATACTTTGTGACTATCTTTACGCTTGTGTTATGCCCTAAAATTCACTTTCAGGAACTTTCACTTTCAGGATACTTTCAGGTATTGGGTTTTCCTGATAGCATTTTAGTCCCTCAAATGTTCTTTTCTCCTCAGAAGATATTACAGCTAGTACATCAAATGGCCTCCTCCCACATGGACAACTCCCATTTCCTCTTGTTTAGACTGATGTGCTAGTTCAGCATCAGCATCTTTGCTGCCACTCGGACCATTTGCCTAGATACCATTATAGACTCACTTTTTTAAAAAGTCCTGTACTCTTGTTATTTGTGTCACAAACTCTTTTCGATAGCTTTTCTGTAGTATAGTATCTTTGCCCACAACTGACAGCGTTGTTGAGGTTCCCATAACCTAGATTCCAGCTCTGCAATGCACTCTTCTCTAGAATTGTCAAATAATAGCTGGCTCTTTTCTTACAACAAAGTACATTGCTGCAGAATCTATTTCCGAGCTCTGACCATGTTACTCTCAAGATCTGTCCACTGGCTCCCCTTCCTCACTGCCTCAGGCAGAAGCTGCGTCTAAGTTTTTGTCTTCCTAAGATGCCTACCATAACAACGGCCTAACCAGTGAGGAGGCTTCTAGTACTATGATAAGGTATACAAATATATACCACAGGAACCTTTATAAGAGTAAAGTGATATTATTTTAACAATCTTTAAAGGAAAAGATCTTTATATTAACAAAATCAACATGTCCAAAAAGTCTGTCCGGCATAAATTATTTCTCTCCTAACATTCCTGCAACTACTTATTTTCTTAAACTTGAAGAGAATATTTGGTGTTACTGTAAATAGATAAAATGCAGAAAAATAACCTTTTATAAACAACACAGCAACCGAATTGTCTTAGATACAATGACAATGAACAATATAGTTCTCTATGTACAAAGCCCACTTCATAGACTGTGTAGATTTTATGACAAGCCTAGCACCTTGAAGATACTGCAACAATATCACAGCAGAAGACTCCATGAAGTTCAAGTACTAAAAAACCTGAAATACAACTTCTGTACCAAAATAATTTATTATATTATCTGCTGCCACTATCAAATCACCATATATGATCTGTCATATTTTAACAATTACGATGTGAACTTTTCACAAATATTTCAGCATTCCAATTTGACATACTAATTAATGTAATGCAAAATCTCAGATTAGTTACATATATTTTATTCACATGGTTTAATACAAAAGCCACTACTGTTTTTTCCAGTAACTACTTTTTAAAATGTAGCACCATCTATCTATAAGGAGAAAAGATAGAAATGTACCTATTCCAGTAGCTCCAAAATTGGTCCTGCAAGTAGGCTTGGTGGCTACTTTCATCACCAAAGGAGGCCTTGCTTTCAATCCAGTGAATTATGTGTCCTTCAACAGCTAGGGCAATAGCAGAAAATAAAAGTGAGCTCTGAAAATCAAACTTAATGGCTTTTAAGAGTTCTATGTTTGTGAATACCCTAATTACCCCGAAAACTACCACGTGACTTATGCTTGCAATAGAGTTACATACTTGTAAAAATATCTTTCAAATAGGCACATGGGGTATTTTTTCTAGAACTACCAAAATATTTTAGGGGATAATTATTTTAATTTCACTCTAATTATATCCTATTCTAGAAGTCCTCTATTTGCATTTGCTCTAACATAAACAGAATGTAAACAAAAAAGAGACCGGACTAAAGTGCAATTGCGCCCTATTTTCCCCCTTACTTTGCTTCCTAGTTGTCAGAAAAAGAGTTGAAGACTTCTGGTGCATAACAAGGCCAGTTAGCCAAGCTGCTGAAGAGAGAAACTTCTAAGCAATGGAGAGTGGAATGTGTGACAACAGTAAGAAAGGTTAGACATTTATATGTTCCTTCTTCTGCAAAATCAGCAAAGCTTTTCATCAAGGAGAAGTAAAGAAAAAGGCTTATGTCAAAAAAGTGATTCTGAATTTCTGCTTCTCTCAATGCTCTTTGGTTCCTGTCCCTCCCCATTTCTTCTACGAGGGAATTTGCAATATTAATATATTTTCCCTTTTTTTGTAAAAGGAGAGTCATCTCTGAGATTGACAACCTATTTTTGCAGAAGAAATCACGGTAATCACTCTGAAAAATCATCTAGCCTTCACAAAGGTAATGTGGGGTAGCACTTTGAAGTCTTTGCAAACATTTGCTGTATTATACATTCACTATAGCATTTACAGCCATAATACCTATCTTAGTCTCAGTCTGACCTGCGATAAGGTGCTCTAAGGGCATGCAGTCCCAGAAGCACAACAGAGTGAGATTAAAAGAGGCTGCAGCAGCACATGGTTGACCACAGACTGTAAAATTACTTGGGAACCTTGAGCAAATACTCATGAAGTTGGCACACTTGGATCTGTAACGCCACACCTATTCTGCTATCAGTAACCAATTTTTGTGGACATATACAATAACTCCCCCGCTTTCCCTGAGACCCCAAGGGGTATAATATCTGAGGCATAAACTGTAGAGTCAACTGCAGTTGAAAAGTAATTTCTAAGAATCCTTTGCCTTTCCTAGCTATTTACTGAATCATGAGGAGGAGAATGTAAGGATAGACCTTAGCTCAGATCTGACAACAGGTAGAAAATTATTTTCTGCCAATCTCAAATGACTGAAATCATTTGAAGAAAGTGCATACTATTACTACATGGATTTTCAGAGACCGTGACAAATCCATGCAAACAAATTAATGGATTATATTTAACCTTCTATCCAATAGGGTAATATTACAAACTCAGGAATCCTTTTGTTTTTTTCCCACAGTACCTTCTCAAGCATTTCAAGAATTAACTCCACCTATTTGCTTTCCATTAAGTATCCATCTAATCAGGCTCCTGAATACCTGGGACATAATGCTATCTGTATCTGATGTAAAAGTGGATACCTGAATATCAAACTCTAATTGTATACTGAAGTCCAAACTATTTCATAATCTTCCCTGCTAACTTTAGACCTGAAAAAAAAACACCTTCTCCCTCACCCAAGCCCTTGATGTCTTCCTGTGAATCTCCAAAGACGACAGCTACGGGAAAAAGGGAGTAGACATTAATTGAAAACTCTCAGGTGTATCTTGACAGAAGTGAATTGTAGATCATCAGAATGCCAAATCCACTGTCTCAAATACAGAACAGCTCAGCTACAAGGGTATTATTTACTTTGTGCATATAACCACTTCTTAACATTATTACCATAATTTTTTTTTTCTGGAACCTAATTCAGAGCACAAACATTGTGGAGCTGAAGGAGGTCTTCAAAAACTTTTGAAAAAGCTCTCATATGCATAGTTGATTTCATGTCCTGGATAAGAGGGATTACTGTGTTGAAAGATGATACCTCAAGAATTGCCGAGTAATGACACATTTTAAAGCGTACATTCAATTTCTTACACCACTGTATGAATCAGTGATCTTGATAAGAATCCCAGCTGTTGTTAATCCCAAGAACAAAAAATCAGTCACATCTGAGACTTTCGCTCAGTGCTTCCAGCCTTTTTATTTTCTCTGATAATCACACCAACCACACTCGCACAGACAGTTGCTGCGTTCTAAGCAGGCGAGGCAGAAGTTTTTGGTATGAAAGTCAGTTTACAAAAGGTGATTATCAATCTTTTACACTTGGAGAACATGGATGTTTTTATTTCCACAGCACAGCCACTAGGTCATCTGATTACTTTAACAATTTACATGGCTTCACGACTAGAAGATGTAGATGAACTTTGACATGACCTTTATGCCTACTTTTATTTCTTCTAGTTTCTTGTTATAAAGGGTATTAAAAAAACAATAGAGATCTACAGGGTTGTATTTAGATGCTAAGCAGTGGCAAAAGAGTAACTGCACAATGACAAATTTCTACTCTATGACCTTTAGGTGTAATGATATTACTTCTAAGAGTGCTTTGAATTTGATTGGGTCTAGAAGTTTAAAATAATTCTATCAGAGTTCAGTTCACAAAGACAGTGGACAGTGTAGGTCAGAGAGGAGTGGGGTTTGGGAAGTTCTTGGTGTTGTTTGTTTGGTTTTTTTGTGGTGATGATGCAAAGGTGTACAAAGAGTGACGAGGAAATATCAAGGACTACTACTTATGATCAGACCTATGTGACCCAAACTAGAACTGCTTACAACTACTGGGCAGCTACTGCAAAATCAGAATAATATTGTATTATCTTAAAATATACTTTACTTCTCATGTCTTAAGCAACCATAATCTTTCAGTACAAAAATTTTTGCACAAAATAATAAAAAATCTTTTAAAAGACTTACCTACTGGTACTTCTAAAATAAAGTCTGGTGTTTTGTCATAACCCTTTGCACGAAGCTGATCTTCAGCTATACACAGAGAATAAGAACGATTGTTTATTAAAATATTCTATTAAGTAGAAAGCAGGATAATTAATTTTCTTTTAAATAAGAGTGCAAGAATTACTAATGCAGTCATACATATCTTTCTCTTTGCATGCAGTGCTGTGTCAGATTAAATGAACCTTCATAGAAAATGTGAAGCATGGATATAAAAATGCTTCTTTGTCATTTCTGCATTTTATGTCTTCATTATAAACATCATTAATTCAAGCTGTCATATAGTATTATATAACCAAAAAAAATTCAAAATAATGCCTTTGCTGATTGAAAGAAGAGTCTCCCCACACTAAGAAGCTTGTTGAGATTAATCCTACCAACATCAAAAATGTAGCTGCCTTCTTGATTTTATTTTAATGTCAGCATAAAGTTGTTAAAAAACAAGATCAAAAATCCTTCCTTTCCAGTTGGACATCTAACAAAGGAGAGAGAAGCCACAATTTTAATTTCTCTTCAATCCTGCATAATGTAAAATTTATGCAATTTCACAAAATACAAAGATTAAGAAATTTTTCTAACATTAACTATACAACTTTATTGCTTATGAATATTAAAGCTTTCAGGAATATTTCAAGAAACAATAATATGGAGTGAGCAAGATAAAACAAACAAAAGATGCTTGCTCTAAAAAAAAAAAAAAAAAGCACCCAAAGCTTTCTAAGGTATTGTCCTTGATTTCCAATATTATTACACTGGTATTTCTGAAACATCATTTCTCCATTAGATTTTGGAGTGACCTGGTCATTCAATTCCAGACATGGCTTTTTGTCTTCACCCAACCTCAACTAATGGCACAACCTAGTAACAAGTAAGGCTGTGTAGTCCCTTAACACCTACTGGGCTGTTGACATTGTCATGCATCCTATTCGCCTTTCTACATCACCTTTGATTAAAATTAATGGTCCATTCTCACTGTTAGGTAGCTTATTTCCAATCCATTTATCAGGTTAGGACAGTAGTTTCATGGCCAATGTTCAGAACTCAGTTTTAGAATACTTTGTGCATACCCTGAAAGGTCAGCAGTTTGAGCCCAAGTAAAATTTTCATAACAAGAAAACATTCACAGCTTATAAGAAATTAAAGAAATCAAAATATTTTAAACATGCCTAAAGCAAATTTCCCTTCTCTTTCTCACCCCAGAATAAACATCTTAAGTAATTTTTTATTTTATTTAAATAGTGAGCTAATATTTGAAGTAGGACATTAGTAATTTTGAAAAGTTGTACAATCATTTAAATATAAACTGCAATAACCAGTATCCTTTTTGACAGGTGTAGTATTTTTATTGAAATTTGAGAATATTTCTTCACAGTAGTACATTAAGTTGTAAATACAAGTCTTGGCAATTATATCATGCAATTAGCTATTAAAACTTCTAGGATTTGGTTGTTGTTTTTTCAAACTTAGATTGCCAGGTATATAGACAAAAGATGTTTAAGTTAACAAGGCTCTAGTTTAAAACAACCTATGAATAGATGGTTTTATGCTACAATGTAAAAATGAATTAATGTTCTAAGCAACTTCTTAATCTTGATAAGAATAAAAAATAATCCCGTTTCATCTAACTCTATTTAATTGTTACCAGCTCTTAATTGTTTAAAACAGTTTAGGAAAGATGATGAGATGTCCTGGTTGAAACTGTCACTATTGAAGAATATACAGATAGCAATATACAGCTCAGTCTTTTCCATCATATCTAACAAAGGTTAGTGTCACAAATTAAGGGAAATGACCTTAAAAAAAAAAGCAGTAAAAACAAGGACAGATGTAAGAACAGTCATTTCCTGGTATGTTGACTCAGCAGGTTTCTGAGCTGGAGTTTGCACCTGCATTACTTTGAACACTCTTCACCAGACTTTTCTTTGAAGAATCTGTCTGATTACTTTGGAACTCATTTGACTCTAAAGCATGCTCTGACCTAGAATATGTTTTTTTGTTTTGAATTTGTTGCTGAATGTTTTCTCTTTGTTCCCCCTAGTATTTTGTACTGTAAGAAACTGTGGAAAATATATTAAAAAAACTATTACTGACATGTATTGGTATTAGCATATGTGCATATGTGCATAATTACATCATCTTCTTCTTTCAAATATTTTGAACTTTTGTATCATTGGAAAAAAAATACAAAACTCTCCATAATCACCATAAACATGTTTTTTTAAACCAAACCCCACCACCAAAATAAAAACGGTTCAAGGTTTTCAGCTCAGGTATGTTTCAGATGAGTCCAGAACCCGCACAGATACCATTCTGCACACCTTAAAAGACCTTTTAGCTCCTGCAAGGATGAAGAGAATGACTTTGGAGTGCCTGAATGCCAGATCACAGCAGCTTTGACAGTACCGCTACCTATTCATCCTCAGGTTTGAAATTCATGTTGGAACAGCCCTCATGAGTAGTATGTCCCCAGATTCTCCACTAGTTGAGATTTCCAATGAAACTGGAGCTTCTTATTTAACCACATCTTGACATTCAATTGTAACTGAACACGTCATTGTTCTTATACTAGTCTCTGGATATAACAAGGAAACCAAATATTTTTCTATTGCCTCACGAATGGGTATTATCTGCAAATTTAAGATTACAGCAGAAAATGTCTTCCTGTTTTATACCCATGCTACTGTGAGACATCACGGTGAGAGCCAAAGAAGCTCAAGATTCTAAGCAAAGGTCAGTTATGTAGCTTCCCATGAGGGGAAGCAACTACGGCAGGCGAAGACAAGACGAGATGAAGTCAGATCTTACACAGAATCTAGAATTTCCTGGCATTTTGGTAAGGTAAGTGAACCAGTGATGAAGTGAAGGCTCCTAGCCTGTTTTGAGAGAATGCTGCCACTGATCACCTAAATCTTAGACAAGATGATAAAGACTTGAGAACTGTGTTTTTGATGGAGAGGAAGTGGCATACATTTTCTTTTCCAGAGCAATACCCAACTAAAATGCAAAAACTGCTAGTTTGCATAGGCTTCCAATCAGTTTCTGGGTGAATCTGAAGGTGTTATTTCTGATCTGTAGGCTTCTAAAGCTAATTGCTATAGAAAGAGACAAATTATCTCCCTGACCCTAAAAGCTGATTCATACCGCACCCAAGATTATACTGGGGCAACTTATACCCACTGTGCCATCTGACCATATTTTCTTCTCCTGCAATATACTCTGTATTGTCTAGGTGAATGCAGCAACACAGGAAGCTTCTTATTATTCCTGAAGAATTCCTTTTGTTAGGGAGTAGTATACTATCATGGAAACTGGCAGCATGGATCCTGTTTCTCTAACGCATGGGTTAAAAGGTAATAGAACTGGCAGTACAGCAATCTAGGTCGTAAGCCTTCCTTAACACTAGAACTCAGTCCTACTCATAGCCTAACAAAGACTGAATTTGTTGACCTATAAGAAATGCTGTCAGATCTTCTATTTCCCAGAGTTTTCCTTCAAGGTTTGTAACTAATTTTTGAGAAAGGAAAGATTTTGTTGTAAGCAGGTTGAGCAGGGTTAATCTTGCAGATATTGAGGAAAAGGTCTTTCTTCTTTTTAATCACACTCAGAATCTTAGAGAGACACGTGAAATGCATAGAAATAATAATAAATATAATCACTTAGCATATCATGACTAAACAATACTTCAGTATATACAAAACGTAAACTTTCTCATTTATATCTTTACAGGCTGATGAGTTAACCCATTCTGGACATTTTGATTTGACAGCACAAATTTCTTCCAGCTTATTCTTAAAGACAAAATTGAAGCCTAACAAAGACTTCATCATTAAAATTTAAATCTGGTCTGTGTACAACACAAACTTGCATAAGGCCAAAAATATGACAGTTGTTGGGTTGAGGATCCATTAGTGAGTCATCTAGTCCATCCCCTTAGATTGTGACAGGATTGATTTCATCAATCTCCTACCAGTTATGATGGATGAGTGTCAAGCCTAGCCTTAAATTTTTCATTGAAGGTGATTCCATAACCTTCCCTGGCAACTTTTTCTACACTTACTGTTCCTAGAATCTTTCCAACTGCAGATTAAGTCCATTACCTCTATTTCTGTTCTTATAGCCAAGTAGGAATACAGCCTACTCACATTTTCATAGTTTCACTTACAAGTTTGTTTGTTATAGGTTTTCTTGTATTTTTTCATTTTTCTCTAAAATAAAGGAGCACACTAACTCTGTTTCTTAAACATATGGGCAAATCTTTGCAAATCTTCTTTCAAAGTTTTAAAATTTTTTTAAGGTTTCTAAAATCTTAACCCAAATCTAGCTTTAGGAGAGAGAACAGTTTCTGATAAAACCAGTAAAATTCCCTAATCATATGAATTTAGCGTAAGTCTGAACCACAACAAAAAATAGCACTTCATTTTGTTATTATTTCACCACATAAGGAATCCAATATTTAAGAAGTCATCATAACTTTATTATCACAGAAAGAGAAACGGTCCTTTAAATACTAATTATTGTTTTAATACTACTTATATACAAGTAATATGCTATGGGCTAAAAGAAGCAGCCTAAAATCACTTTCTAACAAATTAATCCTTAAAATAACTTTAAATATAGAGATTGTGAAAAGAGTACTTGCACAGGGGGGGCAAAAAATTCAGCAGAAACTGCACCGAGACCCGAATGAGTGAATCTTTTAGCAGTTCTTTAATTCATAAAGCATTTTGCAGCTAATATTTCTTATGCTTCCTCCTAGGTCTCACAAGGCCTCGATTATGGCTAATATCTCATGACACCAAAAGTAATACTGCAGCAGATATTAGAGCATTTTTTTCAGCTACTTATTCTATAAAATATTAATTGCAAGCCTGTGCATGTGCTGTATATATAGGGTATTAGGTAACTGAGTTCCTGCTCTGTTCTAAATCAATAAAAGAACATGTACAGCATCAATCATTTTTTACTCTTCCTTTACTACCTAATACAATGTGTGTTGAGCTTTTTTTTTTTTTTTTGGAAAGTAAACAGTCACTGAAATCTTTGAAGTTAAGGATTCACTGTTCACTACTACTGTTTCTTACCTATGAAAGATAGATTTTTTTCCAAAAGCATTTCTCGCAGCAAGACTTCATGCTCATGCCCAATAGCGCTGACAGTTTTAGGTTAAGAAATGGTAGATTACTTTGGAAAAGAATAAAATTCAGAACAACATCTCAAGTAAATGATTCATTCATGATAAAATTTATTGGCCTTCATTTCAGAAGTGACCAACAATTTGAACACCAAGATTTGAAATCCATTAAGGGGATTTTCAGAAGCATTTAGCACTTCCCGAAAATCAGGCTATTGTATATAGCATTAAGTTTACAAAATTGAGACCCATTACGTAGTATTTGTTCAGTATAAATAAGAGAGGCATATTCCATCTTGTTTTCATTTTTTCCAGAACTGAAAATAAAATATAAGCTTAAAATATGTGCTTAAATAGCTATTAAATTACTCTCTACTGATGCATGTATCAATTCTCTAATTCAGCAAAAAATGAAATAAACTTTTTTTCTTTATACTCCGAAATTGGTAGGCACTAAATCCATCCGAAACATCTTACTGTAACAAAACATCCTTTTAATTGATTTTTCAGAAGCATGAACTAATGTCAGGGAAGGATGAAATAATATTTTACAGTGAAGTCCTTTTCACTTCACTGACAGCCTGTTGATCCAAAGTGCTATTCTTAGTAATATGTAGAAAGTCATCACATCAAACATTTTTATTGTATCTGCCTGGAGGTCAAAATTCTATTCTGGAAACCTTCAGGAAGAATCTTATGGATCATCATAATAAACGATCATGTATTAAACACAAATTCCTAATTCTGTTTAAAGTTTGCAGAAGTTATTCTAACTATGGAACGTCTTACCATTATAGTAAATTACTTAATTTCTATGAGCACTTTTTGCTGAACAGCAGAAACTCTAACTGTAAGTAATCATTTAATACATATACACATTTTTTATCAAATGAGATTGTATCTGTTACTAGCACTTACAGTACACAAAAATGTGCAAATGAATAAAGGCAAAAATGTAAGACAAATACTGCAAACAGAATTTATAATGCACCATAAGCAGAAACACTTAGACTTAGTCTATAATAATACCTATTATTGATGCATGGCAATGACCACGGGGCAAAACTTGTAAATAACCTCACAAGCCATTTTCTGCTCACGCAATCCAGCAGCCTAGTTTCCCGTAAGCATCTGAACTATTACTGAAAAACAGCCTCTTGGCATTTACAAAGAGGTTGACTTCATACTTTAGTCCATGCATATATAATTAGATAGTTATATTTAAAATCAATATGCAATCCTTCAGAAGACATTATGCTTTTAAAACCTTAACTTTAAATTGATTTTTAACTATTTTATGTGCCTTAAAATTAACATCTAATTCAGCAACATACTTGCAGATAATATAGTCATACAGCTAAGTATTACCAAACTTTTCTGCACCAAAGTAGGATGGAAAAACTTCATTATTCTCACTGATGCTGCTATATATTGAATAACTTGATTTGAACCAGAATCTGGAGAGAAAAGGGCTTTTAGACCTTTTAGACTTCAGAGAAATTGTTTCTTAAAGACTATCAGAAATTCTATATATGTATTATCTTTTAACATGACACCTTCAGAAGCCTATAGCCAGATTGTTCATCCAAAAAATATTATGTACCAAATTTTGGATATCATACTTTTTTGGTCAATAGCCCCTTAAAAATCCCCTAAAACTCAAGCTACGTACTTCAAAAATAATGTCCTTTCTATAGATAGCCTCATTTCCTTTATGAAGATGAGAAAGTAAAAGAACTGCACTGGAATGTCAGATACAAATTTAAAAATAATAATCAGGCAATCAATTACAACTTAATTTACACTTGAAAATACTCCCATTAAAACTCACTTTCATAATGAAGCTAATACCTTAATGTTGACCACTATCTATGGAACTTAGTAAGTTAATCACAGAATCACAGAATAGTTGAGGTTGGAAGGGACATCTACAGATCATCTAGTCCAATCCCTTGCTCAAAACATGGTCAAATAATTTTAACGGACAATCAGACACACATTTCAAATAATCAAAACCAAAGATGTTCAGTCAGGCATATGAATATGTGGCCACCAAACTGACAACTTCCTGTTGTCCATCTGATTTTTGTTAAACAGTGTAAGAGAACGCTCTGCAGTGACCCTCTAGCTGACTGAATGTAAAATAGAGGAGCATGAAACATGTTTTGTGAAGCAGAACTTTATGTCAGGTTAAAGCTAGACACATTTCCACACAGTCTAAGCTCGTCAATTGTGCACCTAAAATTTTATGGGAAAGGATACTGTTTGATGCAGTCCACCAGTGGTCCATAACAACAGTCATTCACAGTACACTGCAGACAAATAAGAAAGTAGTATAGTGATGGGCAACTACAAAACTATTATAGTTAAACAGTATCTTAAAAACAGTAATTACTTTTCCTCAAAAAGGCTATCAGAAGCTGTTCAGATTTAATCACAGAAAACAAAAATTGCATGCTTTTATTCACTATAAAAGCAAGCTATTAAAAAGTGAAATGCTCTCCTCACAAATATTGCATTGCCATTTATGGTGCACCCTGACCTCAGTGATAGTTTATGATGACAGTAATTAAATGAGGTTTAAAATCTTTTACTCTGCTAGGCAGATAACAGCATTGCCACAAAAAAAAAAAGACAACTGTGATTAATACCTGATAGACTTGGTTTGCTAGAACTCCATCTGGAATCTGAGAAGGGTCCCGTAACATACTATTTATGAGAGTCTTGGAGGCTAGTGAAATAAAGAACAAAAACGTACAAAAAACCTGTTAGCTCAGTGTAAATATATCACTATCCACTTGGCAGGAAGCAAGACATACTTTTATAAAGGAAAACACTGATGATACTGATACTTTTTAAAATTACCCAACTGGCAACTAAAGCAACTACAAACCTGTGAATCTGTAGCTACTTATCCATTATGATATGATTTACTCTAATAGTCTTGAAACACCAAAGCATTTTACTAGCACAGGGTGAAATCAGGCCTTACTCAGTTTCACTGGACAGTTTGTGCCTCTGAAGCATCATGCACAGTTCCCAGGAAAACTGCTTTGCATAAAGAAAATAACTCAGCATAACCTCCATATCCTATAAGAACTTAAAGGAGATAAGGAGAAATTCAAACAACATTTATAAAGAATGAAGTCTTTGGTCTGAACCAAGTACATTATAGACTCGATAATTCCAGTTCAGTAGTTTTCAAAACTATTTATTTATTTAGCAGCAACACCTTTATTTGACTAAATTTAAAAGATGGACAAATGTTGGTAGATGGCTTCCCGTGCTCTTTTCCAAGGTATAAATCTGAGATACAAAAGAAGTCAGAAGTGAGTTCACAAGGACTTTTCATCAGTGTTTTATTCACTGATATTGGTATTGCACTGAAAAAATAACATAAATCAGGAGAGGACTTTATTTTTAAATGCGAATGTAGAATATATACCAAACAATCAGTAATGCTATCGGAAAAACTTTATTCTAGAAAAATGCCTCTTACAAACATCAAACATTCCATTTTGCAGTCTCTCAGAGAAAAAGCAACGGTGCTGTACGAACACAAGCTGCCTCCTTCCTGGAAACAACTGCTGTTAAGAGTTCAGCTGATGGTATATTTATATCAGCAGATCCTTACATGTAGACCAGGTTTGAGACTAGGAAGACTCCCAGCATTGCTAACGATTTCCTGTGTGACTTGAGGCAAATTCTTTTGCCTGCATGCTTCGGTCCTTCTATAAACAAAGATAAAAACTACTTTTCTCCTGTTCATTACCAATTTTTCCCAACTCAGGAGCCAATCCTCATGTCAAAGGAAGATTTGCCACTCACTTCAGTGACTGAATCCCATATCCTTAGATGGTACACTGTGAAAAGGACTCTTGGAATTTGCGGCCTGCCGTACAAGCAGCAATGCTAATGTTTGTAATGCAAAGGCTAAGCTGAAAATAAAGGAGACACTCACTGTAATGGTTTCCCCAATGCTATCTTCTAGAAGCTTCACATTCAGTTGGAAAGAACATTTTTAACAAAGCATTTTTTTTTAGAAAACTATATCCTAATGTAAAATATACAAATATAAAAAACAAAATGAGCTTAAAGGCTTTGCTAAAGCTATAAAAAAGAGCAGTAAAAGTTTGCTCAAGCATTTTTGAAGAGAATGGGACACTAAGCCAAACACTTCCAGACGCACCACTCCATCTTATATACTCGTATCATATTCATCTCACGTGAAAAAAGCATTACTTTTATAACAAATGACACAATCAGGTATATAGGCATTTTATATAGGCTTTTTATGTTAGCTGCTGTACATTGTTAAAAACCTATTTTTTGTATGTAGGTTTTTTAAAAACCTATTTTTATACCTATTTTTTGTGGTATAAAAATGTGAACCCCATGGCTCCGATGTAAATGTCCTTTATTAATGCTAAAAATAACAATTTTTAGATAGGTAGAAATAATACCCACTGAGATTTCAAAAATTAAGACTTTCAAAATGTGATATTTTGCCAATAGAGAGGTTTGACTGAAATCGCAGAATAACGAAGAGTGTATCTGAAGAAAATGTAGTGGAATTCACTGCTGTAAGGAGATTTAAATACCATGACTTAGTTTTTTACAAAAAAATTAAGTTACCTTATGATAGATCAAAAAACGAGCAAATCCCCACAGATTCATATTAGTAAAATATTTAGCAAGACACTACTTTGACTCATGCGCTATAGGTTCGTATTTCTCTACTTCCCACTTTATTTCTGAGACTGGTAACTTCAGTTTCACGCTTAAAGTTACCAGACATTCTGTTCTCACCTATTTTAGAGTAATAAGCAAACTAGCATACTAAATTTTATATTATGCTGATGTCACATTTGTTCTAAACGACTTTAAATTATGACTTTAAAAGGCCTTAAAAAACCCACTACTATAACTAGCATTCAAGATACTATCTTTCCTTCTTATATACACTCATCTGCTTATGTAATGTCTTCCACATTTTTTAAAAAAGTATATTGTCATTTTTTGTATGATATATGCAGCTAAGATAAGATGCCTTCAATTGCAATTCCTTTTTCAGCAAGCTGGTTACTGGAGTGGCAGCATATCAACATGCAAAAACTGAATCAGCAGGGAAGCGCTGAGGTTTTCATGTGAGCAATAAAGATAATCAGAAAATAAAGTTACTTGAAAAACTATTCTTGCACTATTCTTCCTAATTTATCAACAGTAAGATG